CCACAGAACCTGTCCAATAGCTCCAACTGGAGGCCTCTAAGGCCCAGCTGCTGGGGCTGAATTAACTGGACTATTTACCAGGAAAAGAGTCTCCCAGTAAGGACTTGGAGCCCATCTGTTGAAGGAGGGAAGCAGGGGAGGGGGGGAGAAAAGGATACAAGAGGATCAACAGGATGGAGATGGTCATATCCCAAGACTGCCAAAGTCTTCCAAAGGGAGTGAGATGCTGTGGCATCCATCAGGAGTAAAACTATATCTATTGTTCTATCAGAAAATTCCTCCAGAGCATTTCTTTTTTTAAAAAAATTTTTTTTTAATTTTTATTTATGATAGTCACACAGAGAGAGACAGAGAGCGAGAGAGAGGCAGAGACACAGGCAGAGGGAGAAGCAGGCTCCATGCACCGGGAGCCCGACGTGGGATTCGATCCCAGGTCTCCAGGATCGCGCCCTGGGCCAAAGGCAGGCGCCAAACTGCTGTGCCACCCAGGGATCCCCCTCCAGAGCATTTCTAAAAAGGAGGAGTGCAATCAAAACCATTTTATTATACCTTTATTACACATTAGAGAGAGACCAATTCAATTTGCATCCTTCCTTGTCTACCACTGACCAACAGATGTCTGTCATCATTTGTCAGCAGCATCTCCTCCTCACCAGCACTGTTAGGAATCAGAAACCCTCACTCTGAATACGACAGGACCTGATCACCTATGCAATAGATACCATACAATAGCAAAAGAAAACCAAACATAAAGGCTTTACTCTGGCTCCAGCAAAGCTTCACCCATTTACATCAGTTCCTATTCCTCACCATCAAGAGAACACAACAGATGGCTACAGCACCAACAGCTGTACTGTAGTCAAAATGATTGAAAGAACCCTGATATACACAGATGCATTTGCTGTCTCCTCATAGCTATAAAGATCCTTATTTTGATGACCAAGTTCACTTCTCAGCTATTACTAATTATTCAACACAGTATGGACTGAAATCAATAATCACAAATTATACAAGCTTTTATTCCACAAAACCACCTTCTTATAGAGCAGAACAGTATCCAGGGTTTCCAGACTTGTGGGTTATAGCATCAAGATGCTCAGTAGAAGAACTCTCTCTAATCTTGTTTAGAATGAGAAGACTGGATTGATTTGCTAATGAAATGTGAAAGTAAAATGAAAGGTATGAGTGGAGAGCATTTTTTTTCTTTTTTGAAGAGTTATCAGTGAAGAGGAAACCTTTGAGAGAGAAGACCTTAAATTTCTAAACTCTATTTAGGTGTCAGATGTAATTACTTGTAGATTCTGTAGCTTGGTAAAGGTGTAGGTAATGCAATAAAAAGGTTTAAGAAATGAGTGAAATGAGATGGGGAAGTCAAAGTAAAGGGGATTCTTAAAATGTGAATTAAGATATGTTCTGGTTAGTCTGAACAGAAAAGAAAATGAATGTCCTTCATGTTTTACTGCTATTACTAAAAAACAAAATTGTTAAATAGTTAAGTATACAGAATATATCATTTAGCAGTTCAACTCATGTAAGGTATTATGATTTGTATTATTAATACCAAAACCAGCTTGTCCTTAAGTAAAAAAAGATACAGTGTGTGCACTTTATTAACCTTTCTAAAATCCAAAGAATTCTGAAACCTCCAGTATATCTGGCCTCAAGATTCTGAATAAGGAAAATAAAAAAAAATTAAATAAGGGATTGAGGACTGTACATTTTCTAATGCTTTATTATGAAAATAAATGAGTAATAATTCATATGTTTTTAAAAATTCCAATCATGAGTTCCCCACAATTTTTTTACCAACTTCAAAGAAAGCATGGATTCAGCAGGAGTTTCCACCAAGAAGCTAATTACAAGATATGATGGATACTCCTTTTCTTCAACAATTCTAACCTTCATTAATAAGATATTTTCAATCTCAGTTAATAATCCTACTAGTAGGATTATTCATATAATGTCAATGTACTCCATTAACAATAAAATCCTTAGCAATGGCATAGACCATGTATTTATTTACCATCTTAACTCTTCTACTTAATGCTTGAATCCTTGTAATCAATCAATGAATGGCCTTATCTGCCACCTTACACATGATATGGACTGCATCATCAGAGACTTACTTGACTAATTTGCAATTAAAGTTTCATTAAGTCCCTTGAGTTATCATTATATAGTCTAGAATGGGTGATGATAAAAGATGTATCAATTAAGATGTTTTCATATACATGAAACATAAAACCCAAAGACAACTGGATTAAACCAGAACTTACTGGCTCATATAAACTAAAAAGTCTATAGGTATACTATCTACAGGGAAGTCCTGATCTAGTGGCCAGGGCCTTGGTTTTCTCTGTTCTACTCCTTCAGTGTTTACTTCTTATTCAACTGGTTTCCTTTTATGGTCAGAAGATAGCTGCCAGGAGTTTACTGACTGTACATTTTGATTTCTGTTGAAATTCAGCCAAAAAAAAAAAAAAATACACACACACACACACACACACATATATTAAGTGCCTCTACTCCAGCATTCCTAGCAAATATCCTAAGATCATTCTGATTCATCTAGCTTAGATCACATGCCTGCTGTGATTGCCTTGGGTTAAGGCACATGTTCCATTCTGACAAACTCCTCATATTATTTATGAAGTACAGTACATTATAGTTGACCTTAGTAATTTCAAGTTCTAATATTACTGAATGTTATTAATGAATTAAAATGGATAGGTCAAGCATATCATACAACTTTCACTACCTTCTTAAAAAGTTATTCCCTCAAAAAAAAAAAAAAGTTATTCCCTCAAATTTTATAAACAGCCCATCAAGGAAAATAAAGTAAACTCTTCACTGAATAAAAATCACATTTTCAAGGATTCAAAATGTATTACAAGACTGCCCACAGGTTTTATGATTTTCCTTCTTACCACAACAGAAACCAACACTATATATTTTCTCAAAGCAAAAGAGGTTTACATCCAATTTTTTCAGATTTTAATAGAATTTAAATTAAGAGTGAAGAGTACATGAGTATCTTGAGTTAAGAAAAAAAAGTGTTATTGTTTCTTAGAGCCTTAAAATAAAGGCAACTAAATAATCCATCCTGTAACTCAAAACTCCTCTTACAAGGTACTAGATTCACCATGAAACCTACCCCCACCCACACGCACACAGAACTAGGTCCTAAGAACAGAGATCTCACTTTAGGGAGCCTTTTTGTCCGTTGCATTTCAAAGCCAAATGCTAATTATTCCTGAATTACTAGGTTTCTTACTCTTTATGTTCCTTATTCCTATAATTAGCACAGAAAATAGAAATAAACTCTTCTGTTTTTATAACAGAGAAGATAGTGAAATTTATTACTGAAAGCAAGTAGGAAATATGTAGGAAAAGATCGGATATTGACAGTAAAGCTGAAGAAAAACAAAATGCAAAATACAAGCAACATTTTTTGAGAACTAACCACTTGAAAATGTGTTACACACTCATCATCTTAAAAGCCAAACTTCATTTATAATCCTGCAGGGAAGTAGTGTGATTAAAAACCAGGATATGAATTAAAAGAAAATCTCTGTAGGGACGCCTAGGTGGCTCAGGCAGTCAAGCATCTGACTCTTAGTTTTGGCTCAGGTCATGAGTGGGAGTCCACCTAAGAATCTCTTGTCTCCCTCTCTGGCCCTCCCCCAGCTCTAACACACACACTCTCTCTTAAATAAATACATCTTTAAAATAAAAAAGAAAAAGAAAATCTCTGTAATTATTCAATTCTGTAGATTGGTTTTTCAAGTACTCAACTGTTCAAATAATTCAATTCAGTAAATATACACTGATGGCTTTATTAAGAAGCTAGTACTGGGACGCCTGGGTGGCTCAGTGGCTGAGTATCTGCCTTTGGCTCGGGTCGTGATCCCAGGATCCCGGGATCAAGTCCCACATCAGGCTCCCCATAGGGAGCCTGCTTCTCCCTCTGCCTGTGTCTCTGCCTCTCTCTCTCTCTCTCTGTGTCTCTCTCATGAATAAATAAATCTTTAAAAAAAAAAAAAAAGAAGCTAGTACAGGTGTTAGACACAGCAGGGATATAAACATAGCCCTTAGATTCACAAAGTTTACAATGTGCCTCAAAAGCAACACAAAGGAACGTTACTGGGTAGCACAGAACATATTCAAGGAGAAATAAATGCATGAGACACTAAAGACAGTCATCAGAAAGAGGAGAAATCAAATGAGTGGATTTCTATAGTAAGTAACAGAAAATCTAAGGGCAAAACTGCTTAACATTATGGAAATTTATTATCTCACATAACAAGGAATCCAGTTAGGGTGATTCTAGGCATATTACATGGAGCTCCAGTTCCACTTCTCTACAATTCTCTTGCCTCTGCCTTCCTTTACATAAGGACATTACTCTCAGGCTAGTAGCAAAATGGCTAAGCAGTTCCAGATGTCACATCCAGATAAAACCACCTCTAGAGAGAAAAGGGATCATCGCTTTCCTTCTTTCTGAAAACCAAGAAAACCTTTCCCAGCAACCTCTTATAGACTTCCCTTCTATTAGTCAGTGGCCTAAACTGGATCTATTCCTAAGATGATTCCAAAGGCAAGGACATCTACCATTAATCAAGATCAGAGAGGATGCTGTTAATTATCATGACCATCATTTTAGTGTCAGCTGAATATTTTAAGACAACAGGCAGGCCTTGGAGGATGGCATAATTAGGCAAAAAAAAAAAAAAAAGAGAGAGAGAGAGAGCGAGAGAGAGAGAGAGAAATACAATTCAAAGGAAGGGATGTTCCTAAATGAATAAAAAAGTCAAACTGCAATCATGCACTAACTCCACTGTTAGGGACAAGGAACTTTCCTAAGCTGCACCATTGTCATTCTCCATAATATAAAAATTAATTTACTATTCAACAGTGAGCAAATGCTAAGAATGTAAGAGGAGGACTACTCTTTTTACAGAAAGGATTTAGTTATTATCAGTGGGGACAGTCAGACTCACCACTCCTCGTCAACGGAGTCACCCAGTTAGCTATCTCTGGGTTGAGAACATTCCGTATTATGCATACAGATGACTGCAGACTCACTGTCAATAGAAGCTGTTCCTTGAAGGTTTCTTCTCATTTGGGTTCCAGGTTTCAGTCAAACACCCACAAACTCGCAACTGGCCCTATCTGCAAATGAAAGCATGCAATTAGAAGGCAAAAGGCTACAGGGAGCAATTCCCTCTGCTCAACATCTATCATTAACAGATCCATAAGAAGACTGAACCTAAATACCTACCAGATTCAATAAGCATCATGTTCAAACTAAGCAACTTGCATTTCAAAGGCTGTGGTGTGCTTCTTACACAGTTACCATCCTTTTACATCAGGTAAACATATTGTTGTGTCCACAATATACCAGGTACAACTCTTAACAAAAGTTGCCCACTGGGTAGAATCCAACATACATTTATGTGTGGTGGACCCAAGTGAGGATGACCTACACAGCATGTTCACGGACAGCTGCATACATTTATAAATCAGAAGACCACCTGATGTGAAAATCAAGATTTCTGACCTCTCTTGGGGGAAAAAAAAAAAAAAATCAGAAGATCTAGCAATATGGAGCCCACATTCCCACATGGTAACAACCTGTTGGAGCTGATTAGCAGCTAATCCTTCAGATGGGTCATAGGCTTTGCAGTTGCCTAAAGATGTCATCACTCTCTTATAACACGACTCAGTTATCTGTCTTGGTCCAGTTGGCAACTGACTTTGTAAATTCTGCTATATATTTATAATAGCTCACAGGGAACTGTATTACTGTCACAGCCAAGCACGTTTTTCTGCTTGACAATATAGTACAGGGCTAATAACTACACTGGCTTTGGAGTTAGCAGGCCCTAGGTTTGGGTTCTAATTCTGCATATAACTAGCTGTGTGACCTCAGACCTATTTTTAACATAGGATATATTTCTTCATTTACAAGCCTCCAAATAAAAGTATAAGCACTTAGCAAAGTCAACAAACAGGCCTAAAATCTACCATGTCCAAGTTAAACTGATAATCCCAAATCCATTACTTCCTCAGTTTTCTGCATCTTGATAAACTGCAATGTGATTCATGTGCCTAAGCCTCAAACCTCAAAGACCTTATCACATACTCCCAAAAACAGTACCTGATTCTCTAAAATATGTAATTTGAATGAAATCTCAGAATCCCACAAAAACAAATAATAACCCCTCCTTCAGAATTCATTACTTTCCTGAAATCGCCTATAAATTAAGCTCATTAAGTAATGGTAGTTTCAAGTTTCAAGTCCCCATATTATGAGTAATATTAATATTTCATTTAAAAAACTGAGGATGGGGGGGTGCCTGGCTGGTTCAGTAGGTAGAGCATGTGACTCTTGATCTCGGGGTTTTATGTTCAAGCCCCACGGTGGGTGTAGAGATTAGTTTTTTTTTAAATGGGATGCCTGGGTGGATCTGACTTTTGATTTTGGCTCAGCTCATGATCTCAGAGTCGTGAGATCCAGTGACACACTGGGCTGCACTAAGCAGGGTGTCTGCTTGAGATTCTTTCCATCTGCCCCTACACCCACACTCTCTCTCAAATAAATGTTAAAAAAAAAATTTAAAACAAAACACTAGCGATAATACCTATCACTCCTTGCAAGATATTGACCAATTACATTTTGTAAGCCTATACATTTTTCCATCTAAACTAATAATGAACTAGGACACTATGCTTCATCTGCAAACAAAACTAAAAACACAGATGGCTAGAAGTTAAAAATCAACTGTTTCTATAAAATTGTTCAAAGAATAGTCAGAAAGTCATTTTTTAAAATATTCAGTATCAATGGAAAATATGAATTACAAATTGTCAAATGATGTGTAAAGATGACAAATAGAGACACACTATGTTCAAAGATTCAGGGCTGCTAACATGTCAATGCTCTCTAATCTGAGCAAAATAATTCCATGCATTTCTAATCAAATTCCCAGCAGTTTTTATAGAAGTTATAAAGCTAATTCTAAAATTCACATGGAAATGCAAATGAGCTAGAATGGACAAAACAACTTCAAAGATCATTAATATTAGAAGCCTTATACTACCTGACTTCAAAATTTGTTAAAACTGCAAATATCAAGACATTGTGGTACTGAAGAGACACAAATAGATCACAAAACAAAACTGACAGTCCAGAAATAAACTTACATATATATACAGTCAATTGATTTTCTACAAAGGCAGTTCAGTGGAGAAAGGGACAGCCTTCTCAACAAATAGAGCTGGAAAGACTATGTCCATACCTTGTGCCCAATATAAAAACTAACTTAAATCAATCATAGACTTAAAGGTAAAACCTAAAATACAAAATTCCAAGAAGAAAACATAGTGGAAATTTTTTTGTGGTCTTAACTTAGGAAAAAATTTCTTAGATAAAACACAAAAGCATGATATATAAAAGACAGAAGTGACAAATAGGATTTCATCAAAATTACTAATTTCTGCTTTCTGCAAGACACTTAACAAAATGAAAGAGAAGCCACATGTTGGGGGAAAAAAATGATGCAAATCACATTATCTGAAAATGGTCTTGCTTCCAGAAAGAATACAAGAAAGAATGCTAAAAACCCATTAAGAAAACCCAATATTAAAAAGGAACAAATGATCTTAACATACTCCTCTTCAAAGATGTATACATAGCAGATAAGTACATGAAAATATACCTTAACATCATCATTCATTATGAAAATACAAGTGCTGACAAGGATATGCAGCAAGTGCTATCGTATGCTATTGATGAGAATGTGAAATGGTAAAACCACTTTAGAATACAGTTTGGCAGTTTCTTAAAAAATTAAACACATACCATACAACCCAGCTATTCCACACCTAGGTACTTACTTTACTTAATAGAAATGAAAGTCTATGTCCACAAAAAAACTGTTTTTAGCATCTTTGATACCCACAAATGGAAACAATCCAACTATCCATCAAGAAATGGATAGATACACTAAGTTTGGTAGAGCCATTCAGTACATTACTAATTCTGACAAAAAATAATGAACATATGCTATTTAACATGGATGTATCTCATAACAATTAAGCCAAGAAGCCACACCGAAAGTATATCCTATAGAATCCATATACATAAAATTCTAGAATCTCTGGGGATAGAAAGTAATTCCAGGGCAGCCCCGGTGGTTTAGCGGTTTGGCACCACCTTCAGCCCGGGGCCTGATCCTGGAGACCCAGGATCGAGTCCCACATCGGGCTCCCTGCATGGAGACTGCTTCTCCCTCTGCCTGTGTCTCTTCCTCTCTCTAACAAATAAATAAAATCTTAAAAAAAAAAAAAAAAGTAATTCCACTGATTGCCTAGGAATACAGGACAGTGGACAAGAAGGCCTATTCATGACTGGAAAAAAAACTTTCAGAGGTGACAGATATTTTCATGATTTTGAGTGTAGTGATAATTTCACAAGTATAAAAACTTCAAAATTTATTAAACTGAACACTTAAATATGTGCAGTTAATTTTAAGTTTAAAACAAATTCACTGAATATTAATAACTGATAGCAAAACTGATTAATATCAAAAGCAAAAACCTTTCAATCCATTAACTATAAAAATCATGGCCACCATCTTTTTTGAAAATAATTCCACTGAGAAGTATATTACCTCAATGCTAAAGATCAAAATCATAATTACTGTTCACAAAGAAAGCAAATGCCAAAAATAGCACTCTAGCTAACCCCACATAATGTGGCATGGGCAAAAAGAAAATTTAGTGGATCTCACTATTACTTATTCAAGTGCAGCCCAAGTATTTCAAGCTTTCATTGTATTTGGTTGGAATTAGATAAAAAATACATTTTTTCAATGTAAACCAAAAACATTTAATGTAGTCATTTTAGTAGCATTCACTACTAAAATGTATTTCACATTCTGCTTAGAATTAATGAAGAAATCATGAAATCAGATCCACTTTAATTGTTATCTGCTGGCACGGCTTGGTGCTTTTTATACCTCGTTAAATGGCATCTGTGATTTATACTGAAAACAGAGCAAATTACATTATTTCTTTAGCTGAATTTAATCATTAAATTTTATTTTAGACAATACCAAAGGTATGTAAACCCATCTCTATCCAGAGATATTTATTCTCCAAGTTAATCAGTCTCAGTTCCATCACACTGCTATGAAAAAAAGGGCTTCACCTTTAGAGGAGTTAATAGTGCTACCTTAGACTACTTTTAGGGCAGTCACAGAAAAAAATTATGCTAGTTCTGCATCAGCACAAATGGCATGACTAGAATGAATGACTGGAGGCTCCATTTTCCACATATTAAAACATCCTTCTGAGTCACTGCTGCCTCAAGGAAAATGTTTTGCCTTGGGACATCCTACCATCAGCACTCAGGATATTACCGGTAGTGATTCAAAAATACAGAATCAACTTTATGATTCCTTGCCACCCTCAGAATCTCTTATGAATTTAAAAATAACAATATTTTTAAGTGCCCAAATCCACTGCAATTCAAAAGTCTTAAATTTAAGCTAGTTAAACTACAAGAAGCTAAAGCCCTCTTACAGTAGCATTTATTTTTAGTTTCCACTTTTCCCCCAATGAAGAATGACTTAAATTATAAGGCCTTGACCCTATTAAATTACTCTGATACTGAAAGAAAAATATGTACTAAGTATGTGTTCCATCTTCTTGCTCATTTAATGTCAAATGTTAATTCCTTTTTTCCCCCCAAAGAAATAACAGATCTGGCAAGACAATAAAGATCTATGAGAAATCTAGCTCAGTTTCTTAATTTTACACACTCAGGTAAAAAAAAAAAAATTGCCCCAAAGCTCTTAACTAATCAGTAAACTATAAAACCTATTAGCACTACAATAAATCACTACCATTTATTTCCTCAAGTACACTGTAAAGAAAGGCATATAACCATTTACTTACACAGTTTAAGTGAAAAGTTATCTGGGCAACAATCTCATAGCCAGTAGTGATACCATTAAAGGCTCAAGACATTTTGCCTCTTAGTACTGTTTGCTAGTGCTGTTAGCATTCCTGGACCCTAAAAGTTATAGGACATGGTAGGGTTACAGAAATGGATAAAAGTGACAGTATATATGCGAGTAGCTATGTATGACGCAAAACTTTTAAAC